AATATATTATGCTGTTCCACCTAGGAATTCCCTTTTGATTTAGAAAACTAATCAGAAAATTCAAAAATGGAAACTCTCAAATAGCCTAATTGGAATATGATTGGAGTGTGTTTGCTCAGGAGAATATGTTATTACTCTTTGATTAATTGAAGTACCAACTTTGTTATGAATGTTTCTCTTCAAATTACTTGGGAGAAATAACAGAAACAAATGGCAAAGTGCTGACATGCAGTAATTTTACAGACCTGTTCGGTCTTGGAAATAAATGGTTGAGAAATGAGTTTCCATTCATTATGAAATTTCTTTACTTTTGCAGACTTTGGTGTCTTGGCAAATTTTTTGGGGACTGAAAATGCATATTTTTGAAAACGGTTTCAAAGTGCAAGTTTTTGAAAACGGCACAGTTATTGTTTCCGTGTAAACACCCAATACGGGAATCTTTGAAAATGGTGATGTCATGCGCATGCGTAGTACATGTTAGGTATGTAGACATGCGCAGCATGTGTCGATTTTAAAGGCAAGCGCGAACAAACATACACAACAATGGCGGAGTATATGTACTATTGTTGCTGCTCAAGAGTTTGCTAACGCTTCTTCAGCAAAGTGTGGATTTACTTCACCAATATTACAACCAACAGCGGAGACGCATCATATACATCATATAATCGTCACTTCCCTACAGGAACTTTTCCGTTTTGGACTACACCGTTGTCGTGTAAATGTAGCTTAAATGAGTTAAGACCTCTTCAGAAACTCCAAAGGAGGCATACATAAGATTACTGATCATTTTCTGAGGACAATCATTTGGGCGCTATTTATTACTTGAATGATTTTGCATTTTATACATTTAAAAGCAGGTTGTATGTGAGACTTTGTTTGTGTCCAGGAGCATGCTTGAAGTTATATAAACATTTGAGCACTGCTTAAAAAGCACAAGATCACAGTGTTTCCTTTTGAGGGAACTTTAACACTGCAGCAAGGTGTTGATGGTATGGGAATGCCTTTATCATGTGTCAGTGTTTGAAGCACATGTAAACACACCAATCTGATTGGCCAAGGCAGGGAAACACATTCCACTTGATCAACTTTATGCACAGACACCTTTGTTCCTTGGTGATGTGTTGCCGTGTTTTTACACATGCTTCAGACACCAGCATACACTGAAGGTGTTCTCATAGCATCAACGTCATGACGCATCTCAGGGAACCAGATAACATATGTAACTCTGAGACATTTTGACGTTATGGGCCGCTGTGTTACATCCTGTCTGTCAGCAGCTGCACGATTGTTCCACTTAGTTCTCTGCACACATATACTAATACAAATATACTCTGAAAATAGGTTAAGCATTAGCATAGCTGCAACAGTCATATTATCATTTCCCATGGCACAAGGATTCTCGGCTTATCCCCCCCCCCCCCCCCCCCCCCTTCCAGCCGGTCCGCGAGGATATTTTCACAGTGTAACTGGTCCGTAGTGTAAAAAAGGTTGCAGACCCCTGCATCAGAGCATGTATTTAAGCTACAGTTCAACTAAGATTAAACAATTGCCTTCATTTACTCTCCTTGATTATTATTTTATGTTGAACACAGAAAATAAATCCCCTTGGAACACAAAACATTTTTAGACATTTTTAGTAATGTCTTTGTGACACTGCATTATAATTAACATAGTAACATTGTACTCCACATTGCAGTGACCATTTTACACCTATAACAATTGGATTAATTAACAACAATAATAATATGCAACTGTATTTTCTGAACAAAACTTTTTTTTATGAACTAAATATGAGCAGTGTCTACTCATGGAAAAATTATATGCAACAATGCTAGGGTATTATTAGTAGTTGTCTGGGTGTGTTTTTTCCCCATTTTTAAAAAAATAAGTTGCTACAGTATTCATATCATGTAATCAGATGTTAATACTACTCTTATCACCAACAGTTGAGAGCGACTGTCAACAGTGGTGAGACTTTAAAAGAGCAAACGCCCGGTGAAGGACCTTCTCCCCACTAAGGTAAATCACACCAACCCTGATCTGTAATGCCAATCTGTGCTCCAAAGACAAGTGAACCTCAGAGAGCATTAAGGTCAGTGTCCAACTCGATCCGAATTACAGTTAGGAATGAGTACAGTAACCAGTATCCAGTATAGAGCGAGTTGTGTTAGATAACATCTGCAGTTAGTCACCTCTCACGTTCTTGCTATCACACCACTTGCTCAACAGTGACCATGTGACCCTGCCAACCCTTGTGGTAAAGCAAATGAGATGAGATCTCAACAGTTCAATTTCTCATCAGTTTTCAATACCAACCCATTTCTTGTTTCTCTAATCATTCTCTTTTCCTTTCCTTACAAACGTATTGTCATTCTTCCTGATTGTCTCTGTTGCTTGTGCTGCTCTTTTTTTATTTTCTTTCTTTTTAACTATAGCAAATCAGTTTTTGGCTTTTTCTTTAGCCAAAGACCCCAGTGAGCCTGTTTTCAATTTATCTTTAATCTGTGTGCTTTCTTCTGTTTTCGATCATTCTCTTTTGGCCTATAAATAGCCATTAAGTTCTCTTCTATCTCAAAGGTCCAGCAATTTTAAACTGTCTCAAAGCAGCCAATAGCTTTCCTTTGGGTGTACCAGTGGCACAAAAGGCCAAGGGCCTACCCATCATTACAGAAGTGTAGTGAAGCCTGTTGCACATAACCAATTATCAGTAGCTTCACTTGATTTATGAAGTATGAGACCACAAGCACAGCCACACAATATGGTGACAGAATCCATTTGGCAAAGTAAGCTTGATGATAATACACACTTTCTGCTTTCAAATGTTTTCAAATATTGTGCAAAAACGGTTTGTAATTTTTTTAATTGAAATGTTCTTAATTTATACATATATGTCAACTGCTTTAATTAAACTCTATTAACAGGGATGTACATTTTTCAGTCTGGTTCTCATGAAAGCACCTGGAGATTTGGTTTGGTCCTCACACTGCACATAGTGTAACCCATAAAAAAAACAATAAAAATAAAATGATTAATAATAGTATTATTACACTTTATTTATTTAGCTTTTTTAATAAAAATAATAAATACAGTGCGACAATACTATTTTAAAATAAAAAGTGAGTATTAAATAAAAATACACTTATTTTATAGCACTTATTTTATATTGACTTAAATACAATACAAATATTTCACTTTCAATTTATTTATTTTTTATTTTTAATATGAATTTTTATCATTTTCAAACCTAAAATTAGCAAGCTTTTATTTTGGCAGGTTGCTGGCAAGTAAGCATATGCACTGCCGTTTTAGCACTACCAAGTGAAACACGGCAGTGAATGAAGTGTCACAGTTTCACGTTTTATGAGTAAAATGGCAGCGCCTATGCTTTCAGTTTAAATGGAAATCTTATACAGCATTACAGTTAGTTGATCTAAAACAGTGATTGTGCATTAACAGCTCTCAACCATGCTGGTACGCAAATGAGTGACCTGAACTTATTTATCCAGTGCATTTTTTTAAATTTTGGCTACCACTTGTGTGCATCACTGTCTATTAGTGTCACGAATCCTGTCCGTGGCCTTCCATCCGATTGCCACCAGAGGTCGCCCTTCCATTACATTGACTCTCCCGTTACATGTCATCCCGGACTACATTTCCCATGTTCCATTTCACTGATTACACCCTCAGCTGTAGCCAGTCACACAGATCGCAGAGTATTGTTTAGCGATTATCGCTCTCCTAGTGATAGCTACTTTCCGAGTTTCCTAAGTCTATTCTAGTTTTGTTCACTGTGTAATCCGTGTCTTTATTGTAGCCTGCTTATCTCATCCTGTCTGCTCTCTGCCTGCCTTGGACTTTAGTCTGTCTTGGATTATCCCTTTGTCTGGCTGTTTCGGACTGTGTTTGCACCTTGCCTGAACTATTTCCTGTTTGTGGATTACCCGTGTGTCTCGCCCTCTTTATTACGTTCGCCGTCAATTGACTCTCGCCTGTCTTTGGATTTCCCTTTCGTCTTGCCTGTTCCATACTTGTTGTTGCTGTTGACCACAGCCTGTTTTGACCATGTCTTTGAATAAAGCTTTGCATATGGATCCGCACGCTTCCTCTGTTCACTCCGTAACAATTAGCCTATATAACATATATAATTGTATTTACATTTATGCATTTAGCAGATGCTTTTAAACTAAATTGTTTATTAACTTTTATTCTAAAAAAACGTCACTTTTAAGCTTCCTTGCTACATTTTTAACAGCGACTTTAAGTTCCATGTCCAAGTCTATATGTGCTAGATGTGCTCTCATGTGAGAGAAAGTGCAGCTTCTCGCCATGCTTTCCTCAGAAACACAAAATTTCCATTCTATTGGACATCTAATGAAGAAGTATTTTTGAAGAAGAACAACAGAACGAAACAGGAATTTATATTACCGGTTTACAGGTATCTCCTCATATTGTGAGCAATACGGCACCTCGCCGAGCTTTCTCTGTGGAAATTCCCATCCATTAGCTCTGAGCAGTTCATTTTTCAGAGGTTATCAGGGCCAGGACAGAGGGTGGCAATAATCAAGAGCAAGCAAAAGCAGTGGGGAGAGCGAGAGAGAGATGGTTGGTAGCCTCAAACTTATTGAACAGGAACAACCACAATAGTGACAAGCTTGCTAACAAGAAAGCCCACATTAGTTTAGGATTTATGTGCTGAATATTTATTGCTTATTGTGGGGAGTAACTTTGTAAAAAAAAATCGATACTGGAAAATGAAATGGTGATTGATCACACTGAGAAACACTCTAAAAGTACACAAGCTTTAGTAAAGCGTTCTACATTTAAAAAAATAAAAAATAAAAACCAACTTCTTTCAGATTTTTAAAAAAATGATAGCACATCAATTATCTCTATGACATGGTATTATAGCATATAAGCACTGTACACAACTGTACAGGTATTGCTGTACTTTCACAGCATTGTGACAGCCTACTTAGTGTATTAAACCAGATCTATCTTACCCGCATCTCCTGGGCCTCCTTCTGACCATCCCAGGCCCAGCTGCGCTTTGTGAAGTAGTTGACAGTGGCAAACTCAATGAGAGCAGAGAAGACAAAAGCATAGCACACTGCCATAAACCAGTCCATAGCTGTTGCATAAGCCACCTTGGGAAGTGAGTTCCGGGCGCTTATGCTCAGTGTCGTCATGGTCAGGACAGTTGTGACACCTAAAAACAGAAATGGTTAAGTGTTAGATGTCATGGTCAAGATAACAGAAAACGAGTAATTTTTTTTGCAATGTCAGTTGCTGTTTTAGTTGATTTAGCCAATGTATCTAACCAGATGTGACTAAGAAATTATATGAAACAATAATTCCACCTTAAATGAAACATCAATTAAATAAACCCACGTCAACATGCAAGCTCCAAACAGAAAGGTCTTGAACCCGAACATTCATGCTGTGAGGTGATAGTACTATCCACTTAGCCACCACGCCACCCTGGTTTCTACCATAGCTTGAGGAGAGCTAAAAAAAAAAGATCCCACTTTATATTAGGTGGCCTTAACTACTATGTACTTATATTTAAATTAATCATTTAATACAATGCAGTTATATTACATTGTACTTATATTTTTAAAAATACCTGCATGTAAATACATCTGTAATTAATTTCTGTAATTACATTTATAATTACACTGTTGACCCATCCCTTTATACCTTAACCCTCCCTTAAACCTACCCATACCACTAAACCTGTCCCTAACTTTACCTGTATCCCACCTCAATAGCAGCAGAAGTGTTTTGCAATACAATATGAACACAATAAATACATTGTACTTACTTTTGATGCAAGTACATAGTAGTTAAGGCCACTTTATATAAAGTGGGATCTTTTATTTATTTTTTTGCTCTCCTCAAGTTATGGTAGAAACCAGGGTGGCCAGGAACGCTTTCCATCACTTATAAAGATGCTTCTTTTTTAGCCTATGACACCTTGCACAAAGTAAAGTGGTCTATGGTCTTGAACAATCTAATCAACTGTGATTAGAAAGTTAACCAGACATTTGTGAGAGTTTCAAGGACAGGTGCTTTTATAATATATACCACTTTACTTTGTGAAGTGTTTTAGTTGATTTCATCTCCAAATGAAAGCTCACAGCACTGGGATTCATGCCAATGTGCAAGGTGTCATAGGCTAAAAAGAAGCATCCTTATAAGTGATGGAAGCTTTTAAAGGAAATGGGAGTAAACACTGGAAATGTGTTGCTCTGACACCACAATAACGTTCATAAGTAATTATTATGGGCTTTAGATTGCAACATTTATCAGTGAGGAGTGGTGACTTCTTTAACCGGGCATGCTGTCTAATTTATTCATTTGTCAGATATGATAAATAAGAAACAACATTGCAGGTGTTGATGGTGTTTTTTATGTTTTGTACACACACACAATCTCCACTGCAGACTGAACAAGCAAAAGACACAAATAAAAAGTTTTACATTTGTCACATCCGTGTGTAGTTTGGTGTGTATATGGCTAATCCTTTGACGTTTGTGTGTAGAGTTACAATGCAAAAACCCTATTTTTATAAGTTAAAATAGTTTCAAAAGAAGTGTTTTGCAAGAGATGTTTTGTTTGTAAAATTTAGAGAAAAGGAGTCATAGTTTCAGAAATGGTAAGCAATTGAAAAAAAAGATAAACTGGTTAGACTATTTTACTGAACTGCAAGTTATTTATCATGTGAAACTTGAAATGAACTAAGAACCAAAACTGTGCTATGTGTATTTCAGACTTATGTAAATAATATTGTATTTTTAATTTTGTGTATAAACATTTGCACAATTTAGTATATAATCGATTTTAGTAGAAGCCATAATGTGCATATGAATTTTTGATTTGTGATATCTGATCTTTTGGAATGACTCACCATTTGGCAATAGACTGCTGAGGGCAGTAAATGCAATTAAAATTCAATTTCATACAGGCCCCCACCTGCATAAATTGGGTGATTCCTGGCCATGGAATGGATTGGATTCTTGGAATATGCTTCCACGTGGACCATTGCTGATGTTTGGATCCACGAGACTAGTGCTCTGGTGACAATAACAATCTGGTGAATCTAAATTTCACTAAAATAACTGACAAGATAAATCGGTTGTGCTATTAAATCATGGCCCTTCTATTCTGCAAAATTAAATTTGATGATTAAAAAAAAGCAAAAAAAACAAAAGACTCTGAATAGATGCAATAGATGCAAGATGCAATCGTCTCTCGGTTTGTTACTGCCCACTGGCTTAGAAGAGACTGCAGATGGAAGACACTAGTATATTATTACCAGGGGGGCATTCTGACTTCAGTGCAAATAAAACTATAAGAGTGCTACATAAATAAAACATAGCTATATAATGTGCAATATATGGTGTGCTGTTGAAAAGAGGCTGCTATTCAAATGAATACTGAGCGCTGTTTGCTCCCATAAATGTCAGTGGCTGACAATTAAATTGAAATCTATGGCTGATGAGGATCTGTAGAGTGTCAAAAAGTCGAATGGCAAAGAAGATTCTCATTAAACTTTTCATTAGGCATTATCTCCATCTGGAAATGGAGTGAAAAGCAATGGGAACATTAGAAAGAATGTCACACAAGTTGCTATTGTCTCTGCAGAGACAGTTGCCTATTATGTGCCGCGTGTGTTGAAACCATAAATTACACATTACACTATGGAGCTGTGAAAAAAATGCCAAAACAGGATTATCTGTGTGAAATGTCAGGTTAGACCCATCAGATGAGATTTTAGAAACTGGCAGCTATCCAGAGATTGATTAAATATCAGTCTCAAAGCGATGTTTGTGAGATGATGCATCAGCCTAGAAATACTGACACAGGCTTTGCTTTTTAGTGTGGTGGATGAGATGCTTTCTTCTGTGCATAATTTGAACAGTGGCCAATTCCAAGGTCATTTTCCTGAAACCTTGTTTTGTAATTCTTTAAATATTGAAAAATGTTTACATTATAGATTCATCAGATTTTTTAACATACAACCTTGCATCCTAAATGTAAATATTATCAAATATAGTTCATGTGCATTTCATGTCTCTTTGGCATCTTTCTACTCTTTGATTAGAGTCCACCTGAGGTAAATATGATTGATTTGACATGATTTGGAAAAGCAAACACCTGACACCTGTCTAAATAATGTCTACAAGCAGAAAATGCATATCAGAGCAAAAAACAAGCCATGAGGTCAAAGGAATTGCCAGCAGAGACCAGAGATATGATGAGGGATGGATCTTGGAAAGACTACAAAACAATTCTGCTGCTTTGAAAATTCTGAAGAGCATAATGGCCTCCATAACTCTTAAATGGTTGATATTTTTGAACAACCAGGGCTGTGTTTCCCAAAAGAATTATAAGGCACTAATTGGCACCAATAGTCTGATGTACTCAGGCTTACAATGCTTTTAGAAAACGCAACCCAGGATTCTTCCTAGAGCTGTCTACATGGCCAAACTGAGCACTTTGAAAAGAAAGATATTGGTAAGAGAGGTGACCAGGAACATGATGACCACTCCGTTTGAGCTCCAGAGATCCTGTATAGAGATGGAAGAAACTTGCAGAAGTCCATCACTGCAACAATTATTAGATCTAGGCACCCATCCAGGTGTAATGTTGCATGTGAATGTAAACGATCTGCAAAGTTGTACAGAAAAGTGCTCGATAAATAAAGTTCTGTCAGGACAACTATCGGAGGAATTGGCATGGTAATGTACATGACTATGTTAACGTATTTGGTCTTGGCAGAATAAATCTGCTACGCTGCTGCTGCTGCTACTGTGGCAGAGCAAGTACAGAGACTTGCTACTGCCAATACATCCACAACATGCTGCTGTGAGCATGTAAGAAATACTGCTGCTGCACGTATAACAGATATGAATAACCCCCATAGAATATATGATCACCCCATAGCAGATCTATACAGGTGGAGCTGGAGAAGGTGGAGGGTTAGTGTTGCTAGTGTTTGCTACAGCATTTGCATACTGCCTGCTTATGTTCGTTGGCCGGCCACGAACAACTTAACCCCGCCCTCAAACACTGTTGCTTGTTCATGTGGTTAACATCATGTCAAGATGTTGTGAAAGTAAAATAATTTTATTTTCACTTCTGAAAGATGAGGCTGCGGTTAAAGTGCCCCTATTATGGGTAATGAAAAGTTCATATTTTGGTTTTGGGAGTCCCCAACAACAGGTTGACATGCATGCAAGGTCAAAAAACACTTTCATTATCTTATAATATGTGTTTATTTTTACCTTATTTGCTCAATGACTCACAAACTATTAGCGCAACGATTAAGTTTTCCAAACCCTTCCTTTGCGTGATGCTAATCTGCGGTGATTGGTCCGATTGGTCTCATTTTCATTTCATCATGCCTGTAATGCCTGATAATACAGCATTTGTGAGCGCAGTGCTGCTTTGTGTACAGCGTTACCGGGGAAACTGCTATTTTACCGCTCCAATAGCGGCACCTAGTGGCAAAGAATTAATTAGCATTTTCATTCAGACCAACGCGAAAAGACCAACAAGTGGGCGGGCAATATGCTAATGTTTCATGTTGACGTCAACATGAAACGGCTTGGGATTTGTTTTAAAAACGACTCGTTTCAATGATTCAGAGTCGACTTTCTTTTGAGAGACAATCACTTTATACACGGTGCACTTTCAGATTTAAAACTTTGCAGGATGTTTTCAATTACTTAGAGCTGTGTTACACACTGCATGTAGGGGCACATTAAAATGATTTTTTCCCAGCAGTACAACCCCAATCTGTTTTGTGTTCCCGCCATTTTAGTGATGACTGCTTCTCTTATCTATGAAAGTTCAACGCGGGATTTACAAAACGCTTGCTCTTGAAAGATGGCCCAGTACCCACTTTATTTGGACCAACTGGCTCCACTGAATCTGAAACTGTAAGTATAATAAATAATTGATGTTTATATTTTGTATCGAGCATTCAAAATATGGAACTATGGCAATGGGCATATCGTTTCCGACATGCACTGTACGCGGTAGACCAATCACAACAGATTGGGCCATTTAGCACTCAGGGGAGCTGGCTTTGAAGACCTACACAGTACAACCTCCAGGCACCTTGGAAAACACTACATTTAGCACTGGCTGTCTACCAGCCTGGCCGCTCCATTACTTCAATGTCCAGCCAGCCTGATTCGT